ACAAGATTTACTAAAAAATATTAAGAATGTTAGAATCTGACCTGCCTGTATATATTATCAAGAATATTCACTCATATTGAATTGTTGAATTTATTTCAAAAGGAATTAAATATGATAAGCAATTGTGTATTTGGTATTATATTAAGAATATTAGTTGTCATTTAAGTTAGAAAACAAAAAGAAAACATCTGTTACATGATTAAAAAGATCCTACTGTATAATATTGATGTGGTGACAAGCTATACTCCCTATCTGACAAATATATCAAATGTTACTATAATCTGCAGTTATGGACTACAATTAAAAGGTATTCAATCAAAGAGATATCTAAAAACTATTAGACTACACTTGACAATAATACAGAAGATAGATCTTTCAAAATATATTCAAGTCTGAGATTATTAAAAAAAAACAAAGAAGCCAACTTGAAATATTCAGATGAAATTTTTGTTAAAATAGATGATCAAATTAATTAAAAAATTATATAGAAATTACTTAGTAAACCAGCTCTGATAGTTATTACTGTTATATTTGACAGTTAAATGAACATAATAACTTAAAAGATATTTATCTTTGCAATTCAGTTTGGTAAAAAGTTACTAGTCCTACCATTATTTATTAATTTACTTGTAATATAGAACTGTCTACAAATAATGCTAAACTTTGCAAGTCAGTTACTGCTACCAGACAATTAAAATTCTAAAATATATATTTTTTACTTATTTTATTTTTTTTATAATGGAATTTACTAAATATAACCAAATTAAAACTTTCTTGAAGACAGCTCATTTTTATATAATTTTAACTACTTACAGAAGAGACAACTAGAGTTGCAAAGCAAATTTTACCTTATACATAATTATCTGTTATATAAATAGAATTGTTGATGACAAACAAAGAATCAATTATTGTGCATAATTCAACAACATGAAGTAGAACCAATATTATATTTGATTTATGACCATCTTTTTGACACTTACTTCAGAACTGAGAAGATGTTTAATAAAATTTGTGATCATTATTATTGGCCTCAAATATATGAGCATATTTATGACTACATTAAAACCTATGATGAATGTTAAAAGTGAAGAAATTCAGAATGAGTGGGCCTTTACAACCAATATTAGTAGAAGCTCACTTTCATAAGATCAATATTGACTTTGTAGTACCATTAAACTCTATGTCAGCTGAAATTGTCATATTATTGTCACTGTGGATTACATAATTCAATGACCTGAAGCAAATTCGATGCCAACTTGAAACTGCTAATTTTATATATTAGGATATTATATGTCAGCATGGATACCATTCTACATAATTTCAGATTATGGTTCACATTTTAATAATGACATTATGAAATTCTTGGCAGAAAGAATACTTATTATCGACCCCTACCAAAACAAATGGGCTAGTTGAAAAATTCAATCATACCTTATGTGAATCTTTGGTGAAATTAGTTATACAGGACCGTGAATAGAACACATTGATACCTTCAATATTATATGCCTATTGCACTTCCAAACAGTCTACTACAAAATTCACTCTGTTTTATCTTACGTACAGGAGAGAAGCTAAATTTCCAGATCTTGCCTTACAAAACACTATAACTGAAAATATAATTGATAGGTTAACCATGTTCATTGAAGAGTTACCTAGAAATAGAGAAGTTGCTAAAGCAAATATATATAAGGCTCAAAAGCGACAAAAATTTTATTGGAGCAAGAAACATAAAAGGGTTACACAGATTTTCAGCTGTACGGTACTTTTTATTTATTTATTCTTTGTAGTTTTATTTTTTTTTTTAAAAAAAAGTACTTTAAACTGTATAAATAATATAAAATTAAATTGTTTTAAATAGCCTATCATATAAAAGTCTTTCTATAAGAAGTTCATTTACCATATACGATCTTGAAGCACAAAAAAACTTTAATCTAATTTGATTTAAACCCACTTGTGTTCATTTTGCCTGACAAGTTTTCAGAAATGGATAATATTTCTTTAACACTTACAAGCATCTACGCAATCTTCAAAATTATATGATGCTAAACGTGTTTGCAATAAAATCATTATTACAATTATAAAAAAAAAGAATTCGCATTGTGGTAGTAGTCATTCTAGTAGCCATAAATGTAAAATTTTATATAATGCTTAATTTAATTAATTTGCGACGCAGCGTCATGAATTAACCTTAAATTACTTAAATTCCAAAGCACAATACTAAAAATTCATTCAATTTTATTGTAAGTTTAAATTTATTTAACGCTCGAATACAATTTAGAATTGATATTGATATGTATGATATCAGTGACTATTTTCGTTGTGAAGATTGTGCACAACACACTGACCAAAATTTTGTTCGAACAGATGTGTGGCTCATATACTGTATGCTTAAATTCACTGTATCAATTGTGCCGATAAATTATTTAGTTGCCCAATAAATATTTATAAATAGCATATAATCTTGTGTAAACATTTTAAAAATAATCCAATAATAGTTTATTATCTCCAACTCCCTAAGTATCTGATACTGTAGTTAGTGAAAAAAAAGCAAGCCGAAATTGATCTAAAAGTTTTATAACCAAAACTGGCCCACATACTCGTTGCCTCATCATATGATGTAGACAAACCAGTCAAAAAAAAGGCCTTATCAAGTTAAAAGCAACCTTTATGTGAGTTTGTACACTCATTTGCGGTTTAGCGTAACTACATCTAATGGTTACTTTATTCAAATGCCAGAGCAGAGTATTCAGATGACTATTCGGTCAACAGATGAAGTTAACTAGATTTTACACAGACATATTTTTGTCTGATACGATACATATAAATTACAGATTTGTGTGTGGGCTGCACTATCAATGGATACATTTGGACAAAATCTTGAACATATGAACATATGACTCAAAAAAGAAATATTACGTAATAACTTAAAATTTTACTGTGATAATTTAATTCATCAAGATGTTAAACATCTACCTTTACGCATAGTTATGTGCTTCCATACGATTTTTTAAGCTTTATAAAAGCCGAAAAAGTTTTGAACATCAAAAATGTATATCGCTAATTGCAATTTCAGGGCACTCTTCTTTAAAGTCATTGTTTACATTTATGGCAAAATCAACGTATTGCATTAGTATCAACATAAGTAATAAAATTAGATTAAAACGTATCAATTCTTTCATAATCAAAATAATAATGTCATCAAATACATTTTCTCTGGAAAGATCCATTTCGAACAGGAAATCCTATACACCTTTGAATTATATGAGCTTAGATGATGAAGGTGCAATTCTATTATATGAACCTACTGCCGTTAGAACTATTGGTAGGTTATAGTATTATGAATTGATTTATTATAACATAATGTTAATGTTAATTTAACTAATTTAAACACCCAGTTTTTATCGAAGATGAAAATCATATTTTGCAAACACTCTTCTTGGAGGCCATGATGGATTTAAGCTTGGTTCATCAGTGAATATGTGCACCAAAGATATCAATATTTGGAATACCCCATTCTACCACGAGGCAAATGTAAGTTTATTGTATACTTTTGATGTTGTTACATGTCGTATTGTACTATATGTGTGTTTGTACGTTTGAGTTCAGTGTGATAAATAGCCGGGTGACATTTAGAGATAGGTATAAATAGAATATCTACCATTATATATTAACATTAAAATTATACATACACTGTATACGTATAACTATAAATTTTAGGTGTGGTTATTATTGATTATGAGGTATTTATGATCCTAATCAGGAAGTTCCATGGGCGAACAAACGTTTTATTTTATGTTTAGGTATTTCTTCAACGCTTATATATAATATTTTAAAGTTATTGGAAGAGGTTATATTGGAAAGTTATTCCTAATAACTAAAATTGTATCTCTAATCCAACCTCCAAATGAATACCACTTTTTGCTAAATCTCGTCGTTCTCCTTCGAGATTTCCAGTTAGATAGTCCACCTGACTTTGTAAAATATTTTCTTGACAGATAATCAAAAGTTAACAATGATGGTCAACTTAAATCTTTTGCCAATTATTACTTAATTAATAAGTAGTATATCTTTTGTTATAACAAGCTGCGAAAGACATTACAAGTTTTTTAAAAATTTTCAAGTTTATGCAATTCCAGTAAGTATATTCATAGTCTAAATATTTTTTCAAATTTCAAACTTCACTAAATAATATTAAAATATCATCCAGGGATTCTACAAGAGGTGATGAGAAACATGGACACAATTAAAACCAATCAATTGGACCCATTTTTGTTACAAAAATTGAAGAAGTCGTAACAAATATTTATAAAGACTTGCCTTCAAAATATCCTAATATTTCAATAATGGGAGAACTTTTGCTGCGGTCTTGAGAGATGTGTTGTGCAAATCAATGATCCAGCAAACACAATGTTATTAATTCCCCAAGTGCATATGAAGCTACCATTAATTATTCTGCTCAAAAAGTATATGAAACTTGTCTTGAACTTTATGACGAGACGATGAACCAAGAATATTAAAGGACATCCAATTCCTTGGGGTGAGTTCGAAGATGTTCATAATATCTTGTTTGAATTTGTGCTTAAAAATTTTATTCAACAAATCGTTGGAAGTGCTGATCAAATTCTGTCTTTTCAACAACATTTATAATAAGATTGCCGATTTAAAAGATCAATTTTACAAGGAAAACTCTACTGCCGCGAATATCATGAAGAATAGGCTTATAAACTTTGAAAAGAGCACATTGCTCTGGATTGCAAGTAGAAAATCTTTTTATAACTAATAATTTCTTTTATGTGTTTTAAAATTTTTAATTTGATCTAATCCTGTTTACACAGGATATGGGTAGTTTGAACAAATTTATAAAGCTAATAGTAAGGTCAGGTCAGGAAACTGTACAAGTAAGTATATACTTATCTTAGTTGTCAACATTGCTGTAGAATTTGAGTCATAATATAATTGTTATACTTTTGAATACATATGATTTGTTACGTACAAATGAAATGCTAGCACGCCAAAAAACTGAACGACAATATTATGAACTTCTACAAGATGAAAAGTTACGAACAGAAATAACTAAAGTTAAGGCTGAAAATGAAAAATTCAGAAACAACTTGAAGAAAAAGCAAGAACCATGGAAGTAGGATTGGAATCGGTTTAGTTGACTAAAAAACTGTATAATAAACTACCATGTTCAGTCGACTAATAAGTCAACTAAACATAATAGTCGACTAAAACCGATTCCAATCCCTACATGGTAGAATGCCTTCGTAATCAAGAACAAGATAATATTCAAATGATTAATGAACTGAAACTACAGAGTCAACAAGAAATCTATCGATTGAAAAATGAAAACAATCAAATGCTTAATAAAATCAGGGAAGAAAACCGGTCGAGGATAAATAGTTTGCAAGACCAACTCAATAATAATAACCAAAGAAAAACTGTATTTTTGGATGTAGTGGAGGATATTGCTCTTACTGCTATACCCCTTTTTATCAGTAATAAGGGTAGATAGTTACTGTATATTTTAGCAACATATTATATACTTTTGAAATCTAGTTTGTTAAATTCAATTTTATTTCTCTCTTATAAATTGTTAGCAAATTTTATTTCTTTATCAAAGAAATTTTGAATAATGATTGAAATTTTTTAAATAAAACAATATTTACAATATAAAGTATACTTTACAAAATATATTATTTTAAGAGCAAAGTATGTACAGTATCCTCGATAATAGATTATTTGATAATCGTTCGGTTCGACTGTCCTAGCGTTACCAACCTAAAAATTTCGCCATCAGCGTTAGTGTCAGGGTTTTAGCGTGTATTTATTTTTAGATTACACCTGATCTCGAAACTTGATTTGGCAGATAGAGAATGGTAATGTTAGGACGGTTTCTAGGAAATAACCGTGTTGATTTACATGTGAAGATACATATATTAAACGCAGTTTACTAAGCCAATTGACACGGAATGTGGCACAAAGTGAAACATATAATTAAACGTAAATCTACGGACCTTTTTCTACAAGTCATGACGAGTGTATGCATGTAAGTATACAGGCCTCAATGACATGTATCTTTACATTTTTAATGATCAAATTAATGTATATGTATACACATTTATTATTTTTTATTTTAACAGTAATTATTTTATTAAGATATTTGATACATTATGCAAACTCAATACATATATATATTAAAATAAAATGTTTGATACTATATTAGAATTTTTTAGCTTTTTCTTTTTTAGACTTGCTGCTAATCTTAGC